TTCTGGAGAACTGAAGTTCAAGTATTGGCCATTATATGATTTGATATTTCATAGGAGTATATACTAGATGTCAGGCACCATAGTAAGCACTTTGCCAATGTTATTGAGATATCCTTATAACTTTAATGCATAGTCCAGTTCTCTTTTATTTTTTTCCTCTCTCTCTGAACGTGGCTACTTAGAAGCTCAGAGCTAAATTAAATACTCAAAAGCAATAAGTACTTAAGATTTCAGTTTATCTTTTTTGTCCCCTACCAGTTTCATCATTTTGTAAAACTTCTATACATTTACTCAGACACGTTTCTGAGAGTCGATACTCTATAAAGAAAAACAAATTCCCATAATCATCTATCGTAACTTCCTTTTAATCTCAATTGTCAAAAAAGTTCCCATGACTAGCTAATTTGAAGATAACCCCCCCTTGGGTATCACAGCCCAGTCAACTAGGAAACTCAGATAATGCAATATTTCCCATAATCATCTGGTTCAAAATCTGCTTATGGAAGTGGGAAAAGAGGGGCAAAGGGAGAGGGCACAGAGTAACCACCAGGTTATTTCCAATCTACTTCCAAGGTCTATTTGTATCTTGTGTGGGATCCTGACAGTCTCATCTGCCCTTTTCCCAACCACCACTTTTGTAGATCAGCTAGAGATTCTGCTAGAACCTGCTGAGTGAGAAGGCATTGCTATCACCCAGTGATGTTTATTTCCTGGAATTTCACTCTTAGCACTGACACTACCACTGGAATGCATAAAAATTCTGCTGCAACCCAGCACGTTGAAGGTCAAAGTCTTCAGGGAATCCGGTAAGGCAAACTGCTGCTGAGGCATTCCATGTACTCAAGGCAAATGCCCCCAAGAAAAACTCTCAGAAATAACTGCATCATCACTAAGCTAAATGGGGCTAGCTTTCATCTTAAAAGAGAGTGAGAGATAAACAAATATTGACCCATATATACATGGCTCACACAAATACAGGCACAGATCTTGGCATGCCCAATTGGTACCCACTTAGGATGCTTAGTCAGGTAATTTGGTGAACACAATGTTTGGGCGCAACATTTCCTTTATTCAACAAAGATTGACTCAGCACCTACTGTGTGCCAAGATGCTGGAGGATCAAGAGTGAATGAAGCAGTCAAGATACTTTTTCTCATGGACTCTATTCTAGACACAGGAGATAGGTAATCAATAAAATGAACCAACTGAAATGAACAATTCAGATTGCAAATAAAACCAAGGAAGGGGGCACAAAAACCAGTGTCTCAGAAGGAATGAGGGATGGTCTTGACTCAAGTAGTCAGGGAAAGGCTTTTTAAAAAGGTGACACACAATCTTACACTAGAACGGCAAAAAGGAGCTGAAGAAACCAACCACCTTTACTCTGATTTCCATCACCAAGATGAGCTTAATAAAAAAAGAAATGTGCAATCCTATGTGTGGCTCCACACACCCTGTGCTTCATATAATTGCAACCCCTTCCCCCTCTCCCCCAAATACACAGAACAAAACAAAACAAAAAAGGAAAGGAATCCACACTTCTCTTAAGGAAACTTTAAGAAATAACCTTTTCTCAAAGATGCAGATTAAAATTTATTTTAATAGCAGAATTTACTATAAAGAATTTCTAGGGGAGAAACGGAATGTTTATTACTCTTGGAAAGCCAGTTACTTGATAAAACAAATATTTCAATGTCAATAAAATGATGCCTTTGAATGGCAGTGCCAACAGGAATTGCTTCATAAAATAAAGTTCCATGGCTATATTCAGTTTCATTTTACTTCCATTCGCTGGAGAATAAAAGCAAGTCATATTTACTCACGGATGGTCCTCCTTCTAATGCATAACAAAACTTTGAAAGTCATGAAAATAAAATTCTGATAGTGTCTATTGAACAATCACAAATAATAAATGGTTGTTCACCAATGCCTTCCCAGATAATACCCCAAATAAATCATAGTATTGAATTTCTGGTAGAGTCCATTAAAACACTTGAGCCAAAACTCCTAAAAACATCCACTGCTCAAAACACCGTTTTTCTAAAAGAGAAAAATGTTTCCTAGTCCCTGACTTGTTTCAGAACAAGAGAGGTAAACAAGTGAGTTAGGGAGCAGTCACGGTGAATATTCAGAGTGAATCATGGAATATTTTGACTAAACTGCAAGTTTTACTTTGTAACCCAATGCATGCTATATATCATTACAGTATTAATAAGGATGCTCAACTAATAGAAGGCAAAATAATGTAACAATATTGCCCCACGGTCTACATGACCCAACACACCTGTCCCTGCTGTGCTATAGGTGTGTGAACTTCAAAAAAAAAGTTCTTTAAAAACAATCTCACTAGCACCTGAGACCAGTAACTTGCTAAGAGGTAGCCTGTTTCAATGTTTGCTTTTTACTGATTAGGGGTCCTGTCTGAATCTTCATGAATCCCAAATCTGTGTGGAGAGGGGAGAGAATTTAGAATCTGAACGTATCTGTTGAGATACATTCTTTCCTTTGACTCACTTTACAAATGGTTATGCCTCTAAACCCTTTACAGTTTCCCACTGGGGGAACATGAAGACTTGTAAAATCAATAAGTACTCACCCCAGGCCCCCTCTCTCCCCAACAAACCAGAGGCTTAAGACTTAGCCCTAATAATAACCCTACGATGGTCGTTGGGAAATCCTTTTCCAAAGTGACCACAGCAGAAGGACAAAATCCACGAGGAGTAAAAAAAACAAAAACAAAAAACAACTCCTCCAAATGAGTCCTTTTCTTGGGGGGTTGGAGTGGGGGCACACAACTGGCATAACTTCTGACATCAGAACACACTTCGGGCCACTCCGACAGAGATGCTGCGTCAAAAGAAGAGCAAGGCAAAGAAGTGCGGCTGGCTCGGGAGCCTGGCGAAATCGCCAGGGACTGGCAGAGGCGACGGGCACCGGTCGGTGACAGCGCACGCCCATATATCAGGATCATTCTCCTTCCCAAACCCGGCAGTTCCGGGGCAGGAGCACAAGGGGGTGGCGGTAGGGGGTGGGGATGGGGGACCCACAGTCCCTTTAAACCGCACCCCCCTCTCCCGCACCCCCGTGTCTGCCAACCTTTTCCGAATTCCCGTGTCACAGAACTTCCTCATCATGGAAACTTCCACTCGGTTCGGCGCCGAGGATGCCAAACTCCATTTCACAAGGAGCCTGTCAACAGCCGGGTTTTGGGGTTTGAGAAGCAGAGCCGCTGCGATGGGAGCGGGAGGGGGGACCCCCGGCTACCCGCCGCTGCCCACGCCGCGGCTCCGGGGCGCGCCGCTGCCCGGGCCCCGCAGGGCACATCCTCCGGGACGCGGGGCGCAGACACCCACCCCGCGGAGGCAGGTACCGGGGCGGCTCACCGACACCCCCACCCACCCACGCCCGCGCGCGCTCCGCCGGCCGGCCGCACCCCTCCAGTTCCCCGCGACACCCCGCTCGCCATCCTGCCCACCCTCTGGACATTTGGAACTGTCGCCCCTCCCCTCCCCCGCACCCCCCCCCCCAAAAAAAAACACCCCCTCACCCCTGCCTCCGCGCGAGGTCCTCTCGCCAAATCGCCGGGTCCCCGGAGCGGGTCGGGCGGCGCGCCCCTGCCCGGGGAAGGCGGCGGCGGGCGCTCGCCCCGAGCCCGGGGAGCAGGAGGTGTCGGCGCCGGGCGCACTCACATTATCCATGCAAAGTTCATCCCCGCCGCCGCGTCACGGCCGCCCGCCCGCCCGGGCTGTGCGCCTTCCTTGGCCGGCCCCGCAGTCTCCACCCCCTCCGCCCCCTCCTGCCGGCGGGCGGCGGGTCCCCGGGAGCGGAGCGCCGGCCGCGGGACAAATGTCAACTCGTCGGGGCGCAGAGGGGCGGCCGCCAAGGGGCCGCGCGGGCCCTCCCTCCCGCCGCCCCCCTTTATAGGCGCAGGGAGCCGGGGACCCCCCCAACCCCCGCCGCCGCAGGCCCCGCCCCCCGCGCCCCCCGCGCGCCCGGCCCGCGCCCCACAACGAGCCCGGGGCGCACGCGGACCGCTGACCTGCTTTCCTCCCCGGCCCTCCCGGCGGGCCGGCTCCGCAGCGGCCACGGTCACGGCCAAGAGCAGGCGGAGCGGCTCCGCCAGGGGCGCAGCGAGGAAATGGCCTCCCGGCCGCCGGTCTCGCCGCCGCCGGCGCCGCCCGCCCGGCTGGGGGACTGGGGGACGCGTCGGTCACTCCGGCCTCTCGCGTACCCCCTTCCCCTGCTCCCTGCGTGACCGCCACTCCGATCGGCCGCCTCCACACACACCTGCCGCCCCGGGTTCGGCTGCTCCCCCGCCTCCGATCCCCCCGGTGGTGCCTCCCCCCCAAGGGGGCCCCCGGCCCGGGTGGCGAGGTCGCCCCGGTGGTGTCCGGTGGCCGCGCGTTCACCCACCCGGCTGGGCGTCATTCCTCCAGTCGGCACAGGGGAAGGAATGGGGAGCCGGGACGGGGGCGGGGAGGAGGTCACTTGCAGAAGTGCAGCCGTGTTTTGCCGGCGGGCCGTGCTCCTCCCTTTTTTTTCTTTTCTTTTTTTTTTTTTCTCTCCAAACAACTTGTGGCATTTGTCGGGCAGACACGGCACACTGGCTCCTGCGGGGCGTGGGGTGTTCTCTTGCCATCGCCACCCCGGGGGATGGGAGTTTGCAAAAGACCTGGCTGGCCCTCCAGGAAGACACCCTTTCGCAGCACTGGGCATATCCTGGGGTGTGTGTGCTGGGGTTGAGGCACTCCACAGGTTCCAGAAGGGCAGCCCTATGAATTTGTCTTGGCTGGCCCTGGATAGGTACCAATAAAACCGGAAGACAAAAATAATTTATACTCGCAAAATTCTGCCCAGGCAGATGTGAATGTCTAAAGTGTCTCCCTCCAACCCCACCCCTCCCCCACCACCACCACTCCCAAGTCCTGAAGGCCAAGGAGAAAATAAAGCAGTAAAAATACCGAGGAACCCCCCCCAAAACGAAAATGTAGTGGTCAGAAGCTACAGTTGCAGCAAAGCTATGTTGACGACAGGGTGTGACTATTTTCTTGTAGGCAATATTAAACTAATTCCGACTTCATTAGTCAATATACATTTGTATAGTGTGAGAGAGCTATGACGATTTGTATGAAACCTCAGCTGCCTGGACAATGTATAGATCTTTTTTTTTTTTTTTTTTTTTTGAGACTTCTGGATTGCCAGGCAGTGGCGTGTGTTTTATTCCAGTTTCTGGGAAGCATCCCACGGAAAGGGGGCCAGAAGCCACCACCCCTACAGACAGCATTCGCTACAACTGTCAGGAAATTAGGAACTGTGCCAAGCGCCTGATGTACAGAATTTCAGGGAGCTTCCCCAGGCAAGTGGAAGACCCCAAGGCTCTCTGGCCAGAGGAGGGACCTCTCCCTCAAAACTCCAGGGATCCCATTTCCCCTCCGTCCTTGGCGACACATCCGTGTTTTCTTCTTTACTCTTTACTCGTAAGAAGGCTGCACCATAGGACTTGCAGGTTTGTGGCTGGTGAGTCGTTCTTTGCAGAGAAGTTCCCTAGCCTTGCAGCAAGGCTGCCCCGGGATGTTTTGTTTCCTTTGCAGGAAAGCTCTTGGGAGTCTCACCATTTGTTCCAATCAGGGCGCCCCCTGGTGGCGAACTGTGAGTGAAAACGTTGGCCACTGAGGAAAAAAGCCTGGCCCTGATAGGCCACAAGAGTTGACTAGTCATGGCAGGGGCCCAAGAGAGAGTAAACAACTTTTGTAATAAGGGAGATGGTGGAGGTGGTGATGGTGGAGGTGGTGATGGTGCGTGTGTGTAGGTAAGGGTGATGTCAATCTTCCATCAGAAAGGTACATGCTAGGCCTTATAGACTGCTGGAACTTTTTTTTTTTTTCTTCTCTTCTTGAGTATAACTTGGAGCTAAATTCCTGAAGAGGAAATGCGGTACACAGAATGAAGTATAACAAACACTGTTGCTTCCCTTTGTTCAAACGGCTTTGCCTTTCTGATCTCATTTTGCTTGGAAACTTCTGAACAGAGTAAATTAAAACATTAAATAAATAATGAGGCATGACTCAAACAATTCATGGGACTGTGATTGTAATAATGTCTCAGAACAATGGGGAGGACAGTTTTAATGCGATGCTATTGAAACAACATGAACTGCCAGGATTCTATTTGAACTGGCCCTCTAAGGGCAGTCTTACAGGCTGTGTGATGGGAAAGAATGCTTACCAATAGATCATGCATTTCTCCCCTTCCCCTAATTCTACACCAGTGAGGACAATGAAGGAGAATTTTAAGGGGACCTCTTGGAAGGCAGTCCTAATCCTGTAGATTTCAGAAGACATAACCAAACTATTTTCATGACCCATGAGCACATTTCACCATAGCTGTCCATCTTCCTTGCCAGGATCTGTACATTTCAAGCTGATGATGAATCGGTTTGAGGAAGCAAGACATTCATTCATTCAATAATAACTGAGGTTAGAAGACAAATAAAACGTAGGACCCAAAAGGGCTGGGGTTAGACTGAAGTGAATGAGACCAGCGCAGGGTCCAAACCAGTCTTTATTTAAAAAATTGATATGTTGCTCATCCTGGAACAATGGTTGCAATGAATTTTTTATTTTAAAATATTGCATTAAAATATAATTTCTCTTGATTCCTGAGATTATGGGCATCCAAGGCCTCACTTGCCTCACCCTAGTCCCCACTCTGCTGTGCCTTCATGCTATCAGAGTCTACTAAGAAGTAAAATCCTGTTAGAATTTTCTCTGTATCAAAGATAACATGTATACATTAAGGGACTGGAGGTCAGGAAGTTAAAGATGTGGGTGTGAGGTGAGGGTAAACATCAGGAAGACTTCACTGAACTAGGTAGCATTGAAGCAGTACAAGAATAGACCAGATTTTACCAGAGAATGTTGGAACCAAAGGAATGACCCGAACAGGGACTGGGACCATTAGTAGTCTTTCATTTATACCAACAACTATTATAGTTCTCGAGCTAGCTACGCAGCTAAATGATCCAGTCCTGGAGATTCTGATTCTTTCTGCTCATCATTAGATCCTGGGATCTATTTTGACCATGGAGTGGTCCCAGTGATTCTAGTTCATGGCAGATATGAATGTCAAGTCTGTTCCTGCTCTTCAGGAAAGACAGACAGTTAGGGGAGATAGCATGTTCAAAATTAATTTGAGAGTGAGGGTGTAATGAGAAGCATGCAAACATAAATGGATAGGTGACTGATGGCTTGGAGACCAGGAGAGCCCAAGAAGAATGCAAAAGGTGGCTGGGTGGGATTTTGGGGAGAAGTCACAGTGAGGAAAAGACACAGCAGGCTCTCTTTTTTTCAGGGCCCAGTGCAAAATGAAAATGGGGGGCCTTTTATTCGAAAAGGCGGGGGTGGGGGGTGGGGAGAGGGAAATGCAACTCTAGGTACAAAATATAAAGATATCTCCTGTCTTCCATGTTCTCTCTTTGGAATTTCGTATATTTTTTATTTGTTGTTTAATATCATTCTAAGAAAAATAATCATTTAAAATTATTAGCATCAATTTTACTGTTCAAATTTACATCATGCAATACTAGTTTTTAATGCAAACAGAAGGGCATTTGCAAAAATCAATAAAATTACATCATTTGTGTTTTGTAGCCAGTATGTGCATATGCATTTTGTAGTCTGTTTTGGTCTTATCAGAACTGTGGAATCATCACAAAATTAATGCAATTGTTTTTATTCTACTTCTTATTATGTGCTCATTCTACCAGCACTCTGTCTTAAACTCACTGTACTGATGAGTAAGGAAGAACTGAAAGGAAAAGGAACTATGGGTTGTCCTTTCCTTCAATGTGTCATCATTTTCAGAGTAACTCGTTAGCTAGTACAGGGAAGTAACACAAGTAAGAGAGGACATGATAAAGTTTCCCTCTGGTTGTTGCCTTCACTTTGGATTCAGAGCAAGTTCTGGTTGGAATGGAAAGCACGTAACACACTTACCTTGCACCCAGTTTCTGTGTTGCTGACCTTTCACACGTCATGGGGCCATTGGAATTCTGTGCTCATGGGGCATCAAGAATGCTATGCATGAATGGAGCAGCAAAGAATAATCATGGATGTATGTCATGAGTGCATTTCCTCCGCTCATGCACATAATCCATTGTCTCATCAGATGTCACTTATAGAAACACAGTTCAAAGATAAAAATCACTAGGAATCTCAAGACAGTAAAACAGAGCTTTCTGAGGATGGGCCCTGTGCAGCTGTACTGACCACATGGCCATTGGTGAAAGCCTCGAGCATGTGGGAGATGAAGTAGACATTCTGGCATGGCTGGTTATAACAAGGAGTCAACAATACAGCTAACATTTATTAGATATGTGTTATGTATCATGTATTATCCTAAATGCTTCATAGATTTTTTTTTTTAATTTTTGCTCAAGAAAAAAGTGAAGCAGTATTACTGCATACTCCATTTTCCAGGTGGGGAAGCTGTTAAAGTAATGAAATAGGCCCAGGGGCATCAACGTCGACATATAATAGCTGTAAAACAAAGTGTGTTGAAAAGTGTTCAGAGTGATAGTTTCTCTGTATGTAGTCTGTATTGATTAACATTCCTCCTGTAGAAATAAACACTATTTTGAATCCTATCTTCACTTATTAGCTTTGCTAATATCATTTATTTTATTGCACTTCATATAAATAGAATCATACAATGTATTCTCTCTTATAGCTGGTTTCTCTCACATTATGTAATGTTTTCAAGATAAATCCACATTACTGTGTGGATTAGATAGTTGTCCTATTTTTAATTCCTATTTGATATTCAATCATGTAAATATATAGTACCACAATTTATTTATTTTTTCTCCAATTGGTGAATATTTCAATTGTTTCCAGTACGGGACTATTACAGATAAAGCAAATTGTTCAATAAAATTCTTGAATAATTCTTTTTGGTACATGTATTCATATCTCTTGGACACATACTTAGGAGTGGAATTGCTGGTTATATATTATCTCTTAATCATTCTATCAGAGCTCTGTTGCTCATTCTTATAGTTATTACAAATAAAATAAAGTCTAATTTGAGTGAATAAATATTAATATTATAAATATGAAAATCCTAAAAAAGAATTGTTATTCAAGACAGCTCTTACCTTATATAGCAATTATAAGTTCTGCTTGCAGCCACAAATCATTTCTATGTACTAAGCCACATACTAAAAGCCTATAAAAAATTATTTTGATGAATTAAAGTGCATTGAGAAAAAGATGAGTGAGGAAAAGAAGAATACCAAAACATTTTAAAATTAAATAATATTAATTTTTAGCTGTCTGAAAAATAGATTTAAGATGAGTTGAATAATTGCTAATTGGGCTGTAGTAACCATGTTCATCATGAAAATATAAAAGTATAGTATGTTATTAAATTCTGTCAGTCACAGAAGAAATTTAGTGGTTTAAGACAAGCTTCTGCAAGCATGTCAATTAAGTGTACTACTTTTTTTTAGTTATATAAACATAACTAAAGGTTTATCAAAAATGGAAATGTAATTTTTAAAATTCTGTGAAAATATCCTTTCTGTTTAGGAAGGGAATAAAGTGCTTCTTAGTCATTTTCATGGAATAAATTCTAACTTATCTAGATGCAATAACACATATAATGTAACATTTATGATTATAGGCTATTTTCAGGTCCTGAAATTCTTGAATGAGTCTTTTCTGGAGTGACAGTTATAACATTGAATTTATCTGCTTTTGTTAGTTAAATGAGATTCTCAATTTGAGGGCAATATAGGTCTTGTTGACACTTCCTATCTTCATGTATTATAGCTTTCTTTTACAATCAATTTGCCTCATCCAAAGTTTACACAGCCTTGCATAAAACATTAGTCACAGTGCTCCTGCAGACACAATTGCAGAATGTATTTTGAGCATCCATAAAAGATACAGTTAGGGCAAACAACCAAACCTAGAACTGGCAGAGTCCTGAGTTTCCATTTATGCAGGTTAAAGCAAATCCTTACTCTGAGGTTCCTGACAGCAATGGGCTGGCTAAAGATTTGGGCTCTAAGCTTGTACCTTTTCGAATCATTTTGGACATGTTATGTAGCTTCTCTATGCCATAGTTACAAGGAGAAAACAATTATGCCTGCTTGATTGGGATGTGTGAAGAAAAACTGTAAAAAATAGATGAATAATGCTGGACACAGTGCTTGGTGCATAGCAAGTGGCCGCTGAATATGACCTGTTGTTATTTTGTAAAAAAAAAAAATAATAATAATAATAATAAAAATAATAAAAATCCACTGATGCTATTTAACATTTTTTTTTAATGGTAAAAGCTAAAATCTTATCATGAAAGATTCTTTTAAAACAAATTTACTGTGATAATTTTTTTAATTGAAGTATACTTCTCTCTAAATTAACTCAATAAATATTTATAAGTATTTATAATAATATTTATAAATATTATTATATTTATAAATATGGCACTGCTGTAGGCTTTGGAGAGAGAACAGTGAACAGGATGTAAACAGTTTCTGAAAGAGGAGGAACACTCCTATCATTGGCAAAGATTGAGCACAAAGTCAAATACATGATTGAAATTAGCTGTGTAGAAACAATATCTTCTGGAGACAGACTCCTTTACTGATCTCTGAGTTCTAGACTTTAATGTTGGTCTTTTGGAGGAAATGACTCTGTTCTTAGAAAAATCTTTTTCTGAATATTTTTTTTCCTGTAGCATTTCCTAACTGCTACTAAACTCTTAAGTTAGAATGCCTTTCTCTAACATCCAGTTTCTAGAATGTCTGCCTGGAATTCTGGAATTTTCCCCCCAATACCAGTGAGAGTAAAGTCATCCGGAAATCCCCAAATGCTGGATTTGGAGTGAGGCTGATTTGATCTGAGCCATGAAATAACTTGTATTCTCTTGGCCTTGTCATTGATTTCCTGGTCCTCCCATCCATGTGAATAAATATAAGGAATTGGACTATGTAATTGCCAGCTTTTACATTTTAAAACTGAATGCAATTTTATTCCCCACTCAATGAGCAGAAAAAGACATCTATTT